TTGACATGGATGTCTTCAAAGTTTGGAAAACAATGGTGTTAGTACTGTCTTCATCCTGTTCTCAAGCTTAGAGACTCAGAGGGGAAGGCCATAAAATATAATACCTTTAAACCACTGGCTCCTTCCTTTCAGCAAGGTTATAGAGCAGTGATTCCCAAACTCTGGCTCTCTAGGTGTGTTGGGCTTTACCTCTCAGAAGCCTTAGTCATTTTGGCCAAGGGCCTGGGATTCTGAAAACTGAAGTCCAAAACACCTGGAAAACCAGAGTTTGTAGAGCCTTTGGTTCTCAATCCGTTGACAAACTCTACTACTATTAACTTTCACCTTTGGTCAGTCTGGCTGGAACTGATGGGAACTGGAGTCCAACACCATCCTGAGGACCATTGGCTTTCTAAGTGAAAGGCAGAGTTGAAGAGAGAGAGCTTTAGGTGCTCTCCATGATGCTGAAATAATCACTAAAATGCCCTGTTGCCATTATGCTTTGTTGGACAGCGACAGAAACTTGCCGGCCATATTGCTTGCTAGGAGCTGACCATGGTTCTGAAATCACTGGGTCTGTCTTGCCATTATGCCTGGTGGGTAGCCACAGATACCAGCTCTTGAAGAACTTCCACAATGCAATGGACATTTAGTGGACCTGTTATTACCCATGAGCCATGGAAAACTGCAGTCAATCTAGACTAGAAACCATTTTTCTGTTCCTATGGCCCTCTGTTCCTAGGATCAAAGTGGCAAACAAGAAAAACCAAAAAGTGGGTGGAAGTCTATGTCTGGCCATGAAAAGCAGGTTTTTAAAGTATGTAATTATGATGCTTATAATTTATTTAAGAGATGAACTGCCATCCCTGCAGCCTACCAGGAGAGATATTTTAGCATCTCTTAGTTTGGCTGGAAATGTGCAATCCAAAGAATCTGGGGCCACAGAAACAGTCTTGAAGCCATATGCAGCTACAGAGCTACAGGTTATGCACTCCTGTTGCAAAGGAAGGTTTTGGGAATCTACTGTTTGATCCATCAGTTCCAACAGACGGAATGGAAAATCAGAGCCTGGCCTTTTGTGTTCAGGATGAGAAGAAAGCTGTGGTGATGGATGGAGGAGGCATCCAATTGCACAAGCAACAATCCTAGCCATGCCTTGGAGTACTTTTATACTATTAGTAGAAACAGGTGGACTGGAATAGGTTGAACTACTGTAACGCTTATCCTGGTGGGCCCAATTAAATAGAAACATTACTGACCTAGTCTGCAGCAATGAAAATGGCATCACAGATATACTTGATCCTGTTTTGGCCAGAGGAAGTAATTGGGAAGAAGAGATGCAGGAGTGCTGCCTGGAGCTGAACATATCAGTCAAAAGTTTCAGAAAGGGAAAGACTCAGAGCACATTGAAATGGAGAAGCCTGGCAGTGGCAGTTGGTGGTTCCCATGCTGGATCTGATCCAGATTTCAGTCTGAAGTGCCCAACATGCTGAATCTATCCAAAATTCAGTTACTAGCATAGTTCTGGACTAAAACTGTCCAAAATGCTGAACCTATCCAGGATTTAGCAACGAGCATAGTTCTGGACTATACCACTTTAAATGCCATGGCTCCATCCTATAGAATCGTGGGATTTGTAGTTTTGTGAGGCACCAACCCGCTTGGACAGAGCAGGTGCAAGACCTTGTAAAACTACAAATCAGAGGATTTGCAACTTGACACTCCTTTAAGTATTGTAGCTCCATCTTGTGAAGTGGTGTCAAACTGTATTATTTCTACGCTGCAGATGCACTATGAAATCCAGAATGGATTTACCACTCCTAAACTGACCTATAACCTATCAGCAGCCACCCTTTGACTGTCAATGCTTTCTCAAACTCACCAAGATTGGGCTACAAAAGCCTTAATGTTCAAGGTGTGACTACAGAATAGAGGTATGGAACCTGTAGCGATCCAGATGTTGATAAACCACTATTCCCATCATGATTTCCCACTGGCCAGACTGGCTGGAGCTGATGGGAATGAGAGTCCAAGAATATCTGGCTCCTCAGACCTATTATAGAACATATGGAAAAAGGGAGATATGGGAAGTACACAAAGAGGAGAGGGGAGTTGGATGGAATATTCTAGGAAAAAAGTATGGTTGCCTCACACCTGGAATAGGAGCATTCCATGTTGCAAAACTTGGTTGCAACTCTCCATTTTGATTTTGATCTAGTCTATTTTTCAGAAACGTGTTCCAGCAATGCGAAGTTTGTGCATATGCCACCCGAACTGTATGATCGACAATACAATATTGCACCAGTTAAGTATGTTGCCAACACAGGCAGCATGACAACAAAAGCATCATAATTTTCCAGAGCATCGTTGCCAGCAAGGAAGGGGGTAATGAGCCCCCTTCTGTCTTTCCAAAGGAAAGGAACAAATAACACACTCAGCCGTGAATTATTTCTGTACGAGGCAGCTCCATTTTCTTCCAAAACATATTTTAGTTGTGCAGGGCAGGTGGGAGAGATGATCATTCTCTCATCTTGTTATGCCGTTAAGTTGAACTCAAGGCCCCTTTCGTTTGTTTCCTTTTGTCGCGTTTATTGAGAAATTCTGAGTTTTAGAATTCATCTCTCAAATGCAAAGAGTGGAAAACATAAACAGAGAGGAGAAGGAGGAAATAGGGGGAAGGATAGGGCTTTTCAGCTACAGGAAGAAGAAGGAAGGATCATAGAATTGTAGGATCCTAGAGTTGGAAGAGACCCCTAAGGTCATCCAGTCCAGCCTCATTCTGCCATGCAGGAAGACACACTGAAAGCATTCCCAACAGACGGCCATCCAGCTTTTGTGGTGGACTCTCCATCTTTGAAGATGCTCAAACAGAGGTTGGATGAGCATCTTTCAGGAGAGCTTTAGTTGTGCATTCCTGCATAGCTGGCGACTGGACGATTTGGTAAGGTTTTTGGTGGTGTTGTGTGTCCCCAAGTAATTTCTGACTTATGGTGACCCTATCACAGGGCTTTCTTGGCAAGGTTTGTTCAAAAGGGGTTTGCCTTTGCCTTCCTTTGAGGCTGAGAGAATGTGCCTTGCCCAAGACCACCCAGAGGGAATTCATGGCTGAGCAGGGATTCAAACCTGGTCTCTCAGAGTTATAATCCAATGCTCAAACCATGCTGGCTCTCAGATGGCAGATTGGTCCTTTCCAACTCTAAAATTTGATGATGCTATGAGAGCCAGTGTGGTGTAGTGGTCTGAGTGTTGGACAACGAATCTGGAAAGCAGGGTTCACGTCCTTGCTCAGCCATGGAAGCCCACTGGGTGGCCTTGGGAAAGTCACACTCTCTCAGCCTCAGAGGAAGGCAATGGCAAACCTTCTCTGAACAAATCTGGTCAAGAAAACCCTGTGATAGGGTCATCATAAGTCAGAAATGACTTGAAGGCACACAACAACAACAACAACAACAACAACATGAATTATTTACTTAGAGGCCCAGTTCTATCACTGGCTGCACTGGACCTCATCAGCTAAAGGCCTATGAGGCTTCCTTTTCTATACTCCACCTACTGCATTGTTTACCGCCGATCAAGCTTGTCTTATAACAATAATGCGTGTCTGTTTTTGGTACCAAACAAAGCCTTGGGGGAGGCCTGGCATTGCATCCAGTTTCAGCTCAAAACAGTTGGCTGGTTTCCAATCAATCCATCATGTAATGGGGCAAATCCAGTACCCAAGGCTTATATCCTCTGCAAAGTCTTGGATGCATGCCATTGTTTTCAGCTAATGAGATCTACACCTCCCCACCATTGTATCTTTCTTGCATTGCACAAAGCAGATCCCTCCGATGCCAGAGCAAAGTCCCACCAAGCTCTTTTTATCCTGCCAAAGACGACGCCTGGTTTTTTAAAAAGGTCATTCCATCCAGCCTCAGCTGAGCAAAGAGAACATTAAAATAATTACTAAAAGATTTGACCAGGGTGCGGGTGAGAAAGACGTTAACGCAGCGTAATCAGTGTGTGAGACGAATGCTCCAAAAGAACATTGCTGAATGCACATGGCACGCCTGCAAGGAGAGGAAAAGAGTGCAAGCCCCCTAAGAATATACATTTTCTTTCGGTGACTTGAGCCTCCAGCTCAAGCTTCCAACCCAAAGCTGCAGAAAGATATCATAAAGCAACCGATTAGAAAGAGAGGCAGCTCTGGAAAGAGTCTTTTTTGCTGGACTTTTCCTGGTGGATTTGTCTGTGCCAATTTCTTTCCCTGCAATCTTTCTCACTCGTCTCGTCTTTTCAGAATGGGGAATGGCTGCTTCTCCCAGTTGAAGAGCTCATCTATCCCAGTTGCCTGGACTGGGGCATTTGGAGCAACGGAATGTTCTTCTGAGAGAAGCAAAGCCTCCTTTGATTTAAACAGAAACTATAATCTGGGCAGCCAAGTCTCTCCCAGCTGGCTAGCCCACTATTGTTTTTACTGAGGACTGATCAAACGTGGCACAGATGGTTTCTGCCAGGATTAGGCAATCTGGTGCTTTCCAGATATTTTGAGCCAACCCCCATCATACCTGATCACTGGTCCATCTGTGCTGCACTTTCGAAAAATCTAAGAGTAGGAAGGGGCCACAAAGGTCATCTAATCCAACCCCTTGCCATATATGATTACAAAACTAAAGCTCTCTTAAAAGATGCCCATGCAACCTCGGTGTAAATATGCCTAAAGATGGAGAGTCCGCCACCCTCCAAGGCAATCCATTCCACTGTCAAACAGTTCTTATAGTCAAGAATTTCTTCCTAAAATTTAGGGGTACGGTATCTCTTTTCTTGGACTCTGAGCCCATTGTTGGGTCATCTACCAAAACTAACTAGGTCTGACCCTGCTTAGCATTTGAGATCAGGCAGGATTTGGTGCCTTCAGGATATTGTTGTTGTGTGTCTTCAGGTCATTTCTGACTTACAGAGATTTGTCTGGAGGAGGTTTGTTATTGCCTTCCCTGAGGCTGAGAGAGTGTGACTTGCCCAAAGGCATCCAGTGGGTTTCATGGCCAAGCAGGGAATTGAACCCTGGTCTCTAGAGTCCTACTCCAACAGTCAAACCATTATGACACACTGGCTCTGTAGGATACCAAATCCATCAGCTCATAGCCATGCTGGCTTGTGGATTCTGGGAAATGTTATCCAAAAAAGTAACTTTTCCTAAACTTTGGCCTGTGTATGAAGAAGGTCAAGATTATTATGGGGTAAAGGCCAATGGAGAGATGAGAAGATGGGCTCAACAGAGGGCAAGCCTATTTTATTAAAGCTGAAAAGGGATCAATAACAGGAGCGGAAAGGCTGAAAACTCAGCCCACAGAAATGGGGTCACTGCACAGCTGTAAATTGTTTCCATAACCCCCTTGCTCCTCATCTCTTTTTGTGCTGATTTGGGAGCTGGTTTATCCCAGTGTTGAGACTCCACTTCCAAATAAAATAAAATAAAATAAAATATATGAAAAGGGAACATCTATATACACCCTTTCAGGAGAAAGAAAATATGAAAGTTTTATTTGCAGAGTGTGCAAGAAAGGCAGAGGAAGAAGGAGGAATCCAACAAGGGTGGCCATATATTTTAGCTCATCTGCAAAAGGAGGAGCGTCAAGGCAAGGCAAAAGAAAATAAAAATGAGTGGCACTAAAGAAAGAAGGGGTAGGGAGGGATACAGAGCAAAAACATTTCCCATTGCTGATGGAGAGCAAAACAGACTGAAAAAAGGAGGGTTTGTTTTAAAAAGAGATTTGGGGAAGTGAAAGACCTTGAGATACTCATCTACCCACCTGTCAGAATGAGTGACTAGGACAACCTAGGCATATTTTCCCCCTTGGTTGCCTAAGTTATGTGCCACATGTATCATATCAGTTTGGCGCGGCAGTCTGTTGAGCCGACATATGGAAGATATCATCGGGAGCTACCTGATGCACTGGGAGAATGGAACAAATGTGTAATCCTCCGTGCCACTGAGCTGTGCTGCTTAATGCAACAAAACAGCATTGCTTCACACTCTTACACACATACCCTGTGCACACACACACACACACTCTCACACACACATATCCTGCTAGGCTTATTTCTTTTTAAATGTATCCATCGGAAAAAGGACTTTGGGTACAGCTGGTTTAACAAGGGAGCATTTTGTCCTTCCCGAAGCAGCTGGCAGCCTTGAGCGTTGACTGTTTTAGCTCCAACGGCTCTAATGTGTCATTGAGGATCTATAAGCCACCCTGAACCATGATGGCTGAGATGCTGCAACAAGGTTGCATTGCATAAATCTCTTCTGTGGTGGATGATGGCTCCCATGTCATTGGGGCAGTAAAACCCTTCTGGGTTTTGGCTTGCTTGAAAGGGGTTCTCCGAGAAACCTGTAGCAGTGTTACTATTCTCTACTGCTTTGGGCTACATGACTATCTGCTCTCATGGTCTAACTATCAGAAATAAAGGATGGGACACAAGGAAAAATGAAACTACAAATGATGAGGGATTGGAAAGAAAGAAAGCCCCCAAATGGTATCTGTCACCAACCAGGAATCATTTAAGAGAAGATGAATTGGGTGATCATTTAATAAGATCAGGAAAGAGCTGCCAAAAATGGTGAGCTTGCACATTTTCCAGAATGCTTCATCAGTCTCAGTGGTACAAAATTTAGACAAAGTAGGGAGAAAGCAATCATTTTCAAACCTAGGCCAGATATAGTAGTCACTCTCTCTTCCAAAAATGGTCCAGTCAGTCAGTTTGCTGTCCACTCTAAGAAGAGGGTCACTACATCTGGCCAAATTTTAGAAGCTCTCTTCTTTCTCCCATTGTCCCCTAAATTTTGAATCATCCACCCTGTTGAAGAATCCTGGACAGATAACTTGGCAGGATTTATTTCTGTGATGTTCTGGATTTAGTAGAAAAATGTTGGTGCAATTATTAGATAAATTAAGGTTAAGTATAGTTATATGTTTGCAATGTGTAGTAAGGTATGGATCTGTTGGGAGGGTTGAGAGAATGAAATGTTGGGAGTGCCTGGTGTTTGGCTGAATGTCTAAGGAAGTTTTTTAAAAAAGATTGGTATATGTGATAGGTTTAAGAGTTGGAGAGTCAAAGAAAGAGATTAGTTAGAGTCAGAGTCAGTTAGGGTATGAGTGAACAATGTGAGTTACAGTATCAGCCAGGATTTAGAAGTTTTTAAATAACTAATCTTCGATGTTCAGTTTGATGTACCCTTGCATTCAGTATCTGTTTAATAAATCATTTTTTACATTGTACACTCGAGTCTCTGAGAACACTACATAAGGGATATTGGAAAGCTTGAGTTCAGACATACGGTGTCCATTGGAGCAGTGGCTATACAAGGGTGGTGGTGTCTGGTGGGGAGGTTAAATGAATAAAATATCAGACAGGAACTGCAAAGACGTCTAATGGGTCCCCATATTTGACATCAAAGTGGTGGGACAAGAGAAGGTCCTTGCATTGATGGCCAAGGTGGGAATATGTAGAAACCCTCGCCCTGTCTTCTGTGAAATTTTAGTGATCCTAATAATTGTATTACAACAATCTCCAAGTTTTATTTCTACTCCTATTGCTACTTTTTGGTTATTTTTTTATTCTCAAACACCAGATGATATGTCAACTGTACCTGATAAAAGTACTTCATCTTAATAGGTATGGACACCAGAGTGGTGAGCAGTCATTATCATATCATTTCTTTGGCTTGTGACCGATGGTCATCACATACTGGAGTTGTTTCCTTTTCCTCGAAATGTAGACTCTTCAGGAGAGTCAATTAATTAAAGAAATTTTTGCAAACAATGGGACAATCCTTTTCAACAGAGTCCCTTTTCAACTCTTTCCAAGAAACACTGCTGCGTGGCAGTCTAACATCAGCCATCACAAGTGATTTGCCTCAACCTCTAACTTTCCCACCTGTCAACAATAGCCTCCTTGGGTTCATCCAATGTGGATGATTGCTTGTCAGTTCCTAACACTTTAGAGAACAAAGGACCTAGATGGACATTCAGAAAGCGAAATCCAGAAACCACTGAGGGACGCTATGTTTTCATGACCTCAAAGTCATTGTACTCCCGCTGCCAACAATGAAAAAGAGAGCTGCAGAGCAAAACTCCTGCAGGAGAAATCATGATCAGATTGAATACCATCTCCTTTGGGCTCAATTGCGATTATGAACTGCTTTCACCACAATGGCAGAGGACAGCAAAGGGCAGTCCTTCATGGTCTCTGTGACCCACACAAATAGAGTTATCCTGCGTCTATCCAAAAGACACACTGTGTAGGTGCAGGATAACCCATTTGTTTGAGTTCACAGATGACCCCTCGAAGGACTATAGTTACAGGTTTGCAATCTGTCCTTCTTATTTGTGGTCTCTGTAAGAGCAGATTGAACTCAGGGGAAGAGGAGAAAAGAGTTTGAGTCATGTACTTCCCAGGAGGATCATGCAAAAGCAAACTGCTGCAGCCTCTCGTAGCTTGTGTATTATTTCTCATTAATACCTTCATGGCCACACTCTGATGTTGCTTGGTCACACAAGTCCCAATTTTCGGCTACAAAATGTTGGAGGGTGTGCTGCTTTATGGAATAGATCACTCCATTTTCACCTGGTACACACAATAGGCTCTCCACCAAGACACGATTAATCTACTTCCTCTCCTTGCATTTCTTGCCCTTTGGCTCTTCTGTTTGACTCCTTTCTTCTTTTCTGTTCCCATCTGAAAATCTATATTTGCCAGCTTAGAGGGATAAACTTTCTTCATCTCTCCAAGGAAGTGCTGGGCTACACAAGTTCCCATAAATGTTATAGTCCTTACGGCACTGCAAGAAGCTTTGATGCAGAAGTATCTGGGTTATTTTAGAGGTGAACATATTCAGTTCCTTACCCCTCCCTCCATTGACATTTCCAGCATGACTGAAATGAAGAAGGATAAACAGCGTGATTCTTTGGAGATTTGTGAGATGTCAACTATAACTCCTGAAGTTGTCAAGGGAAGCAGGCAGCGGTTTCAGATCAGAAAGCTTCCTCAGACAGACATAACTGTCTATCTTCTCAGGAAAAGATAAGGTCAAAAGTTTTTTTTTTCCAGATAATCTATGGCCTTGTATTTAAGCTCTCTTTTCCCTCATGCAAACACTCACTTTAACCATGGTCATGTCATTTGCTGGAATATTTCTGTTTTAAAACCTAACCGGCTATTTCAGAGAAGGGACAACATGATTTCTGCAAAATCTAATACAGGAAGGTGCAGAAGTGTGGCCTGAGGGCCATATGTGGCCCCTGGTGCTATTTTGTGGCCTCTGGGCCATTTGGTATTGTGTGTCTTCAAGTCATTTCTGACTTACGGTGATTCTAAGGTGAACATATCATGGTGTAACAATGAATATCTGCATATTATAATATGCCATGCATTATAGAAAACCCTAAGAGAGGGCATGTTGTAGTGGTCTGAGTGCTGGACGAACACTCTGGGAGACCAGGGTTCAAATCTCCTCAAAGCCATGGAAACTCATTGGGTGACCTTGAGCAGGTCACACTGTCTATCACAAAACAAGCCTTGGGTCAACTCAAATCATTGTTGTTGTTAACCACCTTCAAGTCGATCTTGACTCAGGGCAACCCTGTGGGTGAGACATCTCCAAGATCCCCTGTCCTCCACCGCTTTACATAAGTCCTGCAAATTCATACCTGTGACCTCCCTAATAGAGTCAAATCATATTAGACTCAAATCATGCATCCCTCATATCTGGGGGACTCTCTTCTTTTGGCTGGAACTGATTTTGGTCCAACCCAAAGTCCTTTCTATACATGTGGCACAGTCAGGCATGCCAACCTTTACCAGCTAATATAAAAAGCAGCTAAACAAATAAGGGACTGGGCATGTGTACCCCAAGACAAGCCTTGGGTCAACCCTACTGATGCATCCCAATGATGTTGTCCCCAATAGGGCCTTCAAGGGAGAGCTTTCCATAACTAGGATACCATAGCTGGAAAGGTCATCTCCCATGTCCCAACACAGTGTATTAACCTCATTGATGGGACATGGAGGATCTGGGACACAGAAGATTACAGAAGATGAGTAGATCACA